GGCGGGGCCCGAGATCCGCCGCGTGCGGAGGCCGGCCGCGGTGGGCCAGGCAGTGCTGAGGTGTGAAGGGGAGTTTCTGAATAGGAGTTTCTTGAGGCGCTCAGAGAATGGCCCCCCCGGCTCCCCACTCCCGTTTCCTGCCCCTTCTGCCCTCCCGTGCCCCTCCCACGTGGGCATCTGACCTGAGCTCTGCTGGCTGTCGCCAGCCAGTGCCACCCTCCCCCACTGCCATGCTTGCAGAAAGGGGGCTCAGGGGCGTTTGCCTACACCCTCCCTGCCCCAGGCCAAGCCATAGCTCCTTCCACAGGCGGGGAAGCCTAGCCCAGGGAAGGAGCGCTCTGGGAGGGGCTCTGTGTGTGTGTGGGGGGGGGTTGGAGAGGGGTTGTGGACCAGTGAAATTTGACAATGTTTTCATCTTCGCTTTCTGGAACCTCCTTCTCGCCCCACCCCCACCCAGCTGTCCAGGCCCTGGTGGCCCCTGGTACAGGGCTGGGAGGCCTCAGTAAGGGCAGAGAGCTGTACTTCAAGTGAGAAACAAAAGCCTTTCTTTGACTGTGGCCGGTGGGGGGGGCCTTGGCAGAAGAAGGGGCTCCCAGGGATGTGAGGAGGAGGTGCTGCTGGAAGGGGGCAAACTCGGAAGGGTCCCCAGTCCCCAGGATCCCAGTCAGTTCCCAGCCCATGGGGGCTCAGGCTCACCCTCGAGTGGCACAGGAATCCCAGGTAGACGATGGCCGCCGCGGGCAGCAGCACCAGCAAGAAGACCGTGGTGGGCAGCAGCAGGTGCAGCAGGAGTGCGGCCAGTACCCGGCCAGGCAGCAACAGGGGCCCGAGGCCTCGGGCAGCAAGGCCCAGCCACCCCGGACATGTCAGGGCCAAGGTCTGGCGGTCAACAGGCCTTCGGGGCAGCATGGGTGCTGTGTCCGAGGCGCCCCCTCCCTCATCCTCCTCCGTCTCCCTTTCCTGCTCACTCATGCCCTGGCTGACAGCAGGCTTCTGGTTCAGGGTGGGTCTGGGGCAAGAGGACCTGTGCTCCCCAGGGCCAGCTTAGGGACCCTTAACCCCTCCCCAGTTGCACCCTGTCCACACCCTGTCACAGATAGTGGGCCCTGGTCCCAGGGGTCCAGCCCTGACAGTCCTCAGGGCCACACCCTTGCCTCAGTTTCCCCACTGCCAGGCTAGACCTCCCTCTACCAGGCAACTGCAGCTCCGGCCTGGCCAGTCTCCCAGCCGGCTCCTGCGCACTCTGATTGGCCTCACACTGCTCGCCCCACGCAGCACTAGGGTCCTCCTCCCCCTGGTCCCGCCCTTCCCCCTTCCAGCTCCCCCGCACAAGCACAATGACTTCATTTCATAGGTCTTGACTCTGAAGACTGCCCCATCAATAGCTGCCACCTAGAGGCTGGCCACCCACCTCACTTCCCAGCCCTGCCCTGTGTTCCCTCATGGGAAAACCTGGCCGCCCCTCAGCCTCAGTGAAGCAGGAAGACCCCAGGTACCTACACCCATCCAGGGGGTGGGAGGGCACCAGGGCAGATGGATATGAAATGCCTGGCACACAGGATGCACTAGCAAATGGCAGCTAGATCACAGGCATCTGTTGTGTCTGGATCCAGCCCATCCTGAGAGCACACACAGTGGCGGATGTTCAGACGATGGGAGCATATATGCTGTTTCGTCAAGTTGGAGGGCAAAGTCTTCTTCAGCCCATCCCAAAGCCCAGCGGGTTTCCTCAGATAGTACTACAACCCCTTGGCCCCTGACAGGCTACTAGGTTTCCTGCACAACACAGCACAGTCTTTCACACTCCCTGATGGGACTCATCAGTTCGCAGTGTGTGGCTGTCTGCAGCTGAGCAGTTTCCCTGCAAGGCTTTCTCTCCAGGGCCTGCATTTCCCAGGCCTCTCAAGCTGTCTTCTTCCTTCAGAGACCGAATGAGCATGAGGCAGGGACCTGGAGTGTGAAACATGTGACACGCCCCAGCAGGGTAGCAGGGTCCCCTGCAGTGCAGGCCAGGTCAGACTTGAAGATGACTTAATTCTTTCTTTTTTTTTGAGTTGGAGTTTCACTCCGTCACCCAGACTGGCATGCAGTGGCCACTCCCGGCCACCGCAGCCTTGACCCACTGGGCTCCGGCAATCCTTCCGCCTCAGCCTTCTGAGTAGCTGGAACTATAGGCGTGCGCTACCACACCCGGCTGATTTTTGATTTATTGTAGA